GCTGCTACACTGCTAACGGTGCTAATACTGCTAATGCTGCTGAAGATGGCTTTAAATTAAAAAATGGGTGGTACCTGTGGTTCGGCAGTGCAGCTCGGACACCAGCCACAACTGCGAGTTTGATGTCTTTTAGGGAAGTGTTAGCATGACTAGCATCATTAGCAGCATTAGCATCATTAGTGGTTGCTTTTGTCTCAGAATGATGACATGATAACAAGAACAGCAAAGGTTGCATTCCATTCTGAAATACTTAAAATGTAAACTTTAAAATTTAACTTTTACATTCAGATTTACACATTTATATTATGGATTTAATATCTAAAAGTTAAACTTAACATTTAGTAAAAAATAACAAGAACAATGAGCTAAATAATAAAATGTTAGTGGAATTTTTTTAACTAGGATTTTACACTTGAAAGGTAAGCTAAATAATGAAAATAGTTAGTGACATTTTTAAATATTTTATTTCACACCTGGCAACCCATTATAGTAGTAAAAACATGAATAATGCCAATAAGTGTGTAAAAGTAAATGCAGATTGTAAAAATGAGCATGGATACTAAAAACATATGAAGCAGTAAGTTAATAAAGTGAAGTATTTTCCATTAAATCTGTGAAACATCATGTTGTTGACTTGAATTCATTAGCGTGACAGAAAGCAAAGCAAACGCCACAAATTAATAAAATCTATAACTTGAATAATGTGGCTTCTTGTTTTGTCAGCTGCAGCTTTAATAAGTTGTGTCCAAATTTATTTGCGACCTTAATTCAATTACATGCTTGTGAGTACAAAAAATATAGAGCTTCAACAATAAGATTTTTATTAGATATGCATTGGCTTTTTTTTTTTTTATTAAAGCCAGGAGGCAGACTTTATTCTGTATTTTATTGAGTAAGCAGTAAATGTAGCAGCAAATCCTTTTTACATTCATTACATCAAAATAAAATGGAACAAAAACTAAATTAATGCACGGGGCTTCTGAAAAGACAAGCGATTAGTCTGCCTTTTACATTTATTTCATTTTCCTTTTTAAACACAGCTTTCTTCCCACAGAAATGGTTCAAAAGCAGTGGACTGATGGTGCTGTAGTCGGCAGACACTCGTCGCGGCTGCAAAAAGCTATTTGGTGTCTTTTAATTCACCCGACACTCTCTCCTTTCTCACTCTCAATCTGTCACTTTTCGTGCACTTTTCTAGGCTTCTCCACTCATTTCCGAGGACACGTGTGTAGAAACCTGGCCACGGTTCACTCGGAGGTAAATGTACAAGTGTGGCTATGGTGAGAAAAGGTCACACACACACACACACAGACACACACACACACACATGCGCATGTATGCACACATCCTCTGCTGCATTCTTCATCATGCTTTATTCATATGTGTTTTAGGGAAGCTGTGAGTTTACTTGACATGCTACCTGTGAGCTAACAGCACACAGACAGTCCTATAGAGGACAATGTTAGTGCTACTGTTCATTTTTGGCCACTCAGAGTTCACCAAGTGGCTGCACTGGACTGACCTAAAAAGCTGCAGAAAGCACCATAACAAGGTTTTAAATGTTGTTTCAACCAAACAGCTGAATTACACATGATGGGAAGTGAAACTCTTGGGAATTGCCCTAAAAAAACAAAGATCAAAGTCGGCATGTGTGTGTGTGTGTGTGTGTGTGTGTGTGTGTGTGTGTGTGTGTGTGTGTGTGTGTGTGTGNGTGTGTGTGTGTGTGTGTGTGTGTGTGTGTGTGTGTGTGAGAGATCCTCCTCTTTTATTAAACCTGCTCCAGTATACAGTATATCAGGCATCAGAATGTATTTCTGAGGTTGGAGTGCGTTCTGCTGCTAATGTAGCTTCACGCCATGAGCTTCTCGAGCAGAACTCCAGATTTGCTCTTGCTTTCAATCTTCAGCTGCACGTCACGCCAACTCAAGAAATGTATCAGCTTTTCACGCAGCTCTGCTAGTTCTTTTCTCTCTCTCCACACGATCCAAAGTCAGATATTCAAAATGGGTTCTGAAATGTAAAGTTTGTTATATGAAAGACCTCATGTATTCCTTTTTTTAATGAAATCTTTACTGCTGCATGCTTTTAGAGCCTGTTCTTGTTCAGGCTGTAGGTTTTAGGGTCACACCTTTAATGGATTATAATAGTTTTAAAGACTAAATTTTTGGTGAAGAGGGTTTTAAAATTCTTGTTTTCACTTAGCATTGAAGAATATAAGGTGTGCATGAATTAAAGCCGCCTCTCTTTGTCATTTTATTGCACCTTCATAGTTCCCTTTTGCACAGTTATTTGCTTTACTTGTTAAACGAATAGTTTTTTAAAAATTTGCTGCACTGTTGGGAGGTTGTCTCATTCTGCAGCACAAATTTGGCAAACATGAGCTTCCTGTGAGACATTCATCTGCACAAATAATGTTTACTGGAACTGAAACATGCAGCAATGATTGAAAAAGTACCTGCTCAGATTATTTCTAAGTACTTTTTACACATAGCTGAATACTGTATTTGTAAAGAAATTACTGTGTTTTATATAATACAAGAGGTAATTGTCTGACAGCACGTCAATGCTAATTGTAATTGCATCTTAAAACGATAGTTAGTCTATTTAAAAAGTCTGTGTAAAAGTTATGAAGACTTAATATCCAACCTGTTGTAGACAGCTTATGGAAAGTAACACATCGTTAAGAAGCTGTATGGACTGATGAGCTAACACACAGTCCAAGTCAGAGGGCCCGAGTGGGTTGCTGTCACATTAAAAGCAACTTCAATCTAAAAAAAAACCATGAGCAGTTCATGCAAAAGTTACATTATAAATTTTTACACCATCATCAAATGGTGTAAAAATGTAAATTAAAAAATTTAATTAAACTGAGCACATTCAAGAAGGCATCTACAACAGGTGAGATGTTAACTGCTCATAACCTTTTCACAGAACCCCACCTCAAAACATATTAATGATCTCTTTAGCAATAGTTTTTCATAACAGCATTTCTAAAGCTGTTTTAATTTTTGTGATCTTCTTCTTAACAAAAACTGTTTAAGTGATAATTTCTCTAAGAAAGAAAGAAAGAAAAGGAGAGAAAAAACAGAAATAGATTTGAAGCAATTGACAAAAAACACAAGGTGCAAGCTCCTTAATGAAACCATGAAATCTTGTGGATGAAAAAAACTGACTGTTTTCTGTCGTTATGATGGCTTGTCTAAATCATCACGGCTGAAGAAAAGCTGGTTGACAACCGCAGGCTCTTGAGCAGCGTTGGCTGTGGGTGGGAATGCTTTTTCCTACACATCTCTGAGTGCCAGAAGTAGATGAAGGATGGAAAAAAATGATCCTTCAGCACTAAGCAATTTAAATGCAGGACATTTTAGCATTGCATACATTTTGTAATGTATTTTACTGTGTACTGCTTAAATATTACACCAGGAGTAACTGGCTTAATCCAGTAAATGTTTAATCATAAATTTCTTAAATCATGGTTTTTGTTTCAGTTTGTAAAACTGTTTTTGTGAAATAAAAGCTTTTGAGGTAGAAAAGAAGCAATCCACTGAGATGTGATGGAGGAGAGCAGCATGCAAGTTTCTCAAAAATTAGTTAAACATTACTAAAACTAAAGGCCTAGCATTCCTTTGAGATATATGTTTTTGATTTGTTATTGATTCTTAAATGCACTACATATATACATTCAGAATTAAATATTTTATCCATCCATCCATCCGTCCATTATCTATACCCGCTTCTTCCTTTCAGGGTCACGTGGGTCACTGGTGCCCATATCCAGCAGTCACAGTGCGAGGGGCGGGGTACACCCTGGACAGGTCGCAAGTCCATCACAGGGCCACACATAGAGACAAACGAGACAAACAACCATTCACTCTCTCACACACACCTAGGGACAATTTAGAGTTATCAATTAACCTAACAGTCATGTTTTTGGTCTGTGGAAGAAAGCCAGAGTACCCGGAGAGAACCCACACATGCACGGAGATAATATGCAAACTCTACCCAGAAAGGTCCTCAGGCTGGGATTTGATCCGGCAACCTTCTTGCTGAGAGGCATCAGCTCTACCAACTGAGCCACCGTGCTGCCTAATATTCTTTAATTATTATAAAAACCATTTAGCATAATATTTTATACTAAATTTTTTTATCATGAATTCACATTAATTTTTCTATAAACTACTGTGTTTAAACGGTATGCAACAGCTGTGTAAAATGGTTTCTATTTAATTTAACTCCTTGCATTAAAAACAACTCAATAAAAAGCATAATGACCTTTTTAGCTTTGTTTTTTTAGCCCAATGTAAGCTTTGCAGAACTTTCTGTACGAGGACCAAGTTACGAGATCAGGTGAGGTCACCTCCTTTGTTGCCATGATGTCATTTCCATGGGCGTGACTTGTCATCGTGTGCAAATTCCTAGGATATTTTTAATCAGACTTCAAAGCCAGATGGGGGTTCTGAGTGAATGGCCCAGTCCTGTGCAGCTGGGGTAAATTTACATCTCTGAAAATAAATATTTAAGTCTAAGAACTTGATCAGTTTCTGAGCTTAATTCGGGCCTACCAGCCCAAACATCAGAATCTGGCACAACATAATTCGTTTTTTTAAATTAGACAAAAATAAGATGTGAAGACAGTATAAATATATATAAAAATGTAAATAAATAAAGTTTTTGAGATAACGATTGAAACATACGAAGCACTGCAGCTTATTCCTTCTTTCAAAAAGTGACATAAACAGGCTGCACACAAATACAAACACACCATCAGTATTCCTCTGCTTTAAAGGATAATCTTAATGAAATAAACTTCATATCTAATAAATCAAACCCAACGCTGCAGAAAACACTCGGGAGCATCTGCCAACGACGCACAACTGACACAGACAGGATAACGCTTTCAATTATGTTAACAATCAAACAAAATTAAGAAGGCTTGTAACTATTCATGAAAAAACAGAAACAAAAACAAACCCAGACGTGTCACATGCGCGCTCACTTACTGTTGGTTTTGAGGCGTGCTGGTTCGCTGTTGCGGCTTCCCGCCTGGTTGATGGCCTTGACGAAGAAGATGTAGCGGGTGCCACTCTGCAGGCCGTGCACCGTGTAGTGGTTCTGCTTGATGTTGGGTACAATCATCCAGCTGTCTGCAGAGTTGTACAAACCTGGCAGAGACACACACACATACACACACCCATCACGCTGGTATCTTACAGAGGATTTCAGGACGTGCAGCGGGATTCACGTTAAAAGTAACTAAAGCTATAGCTCCAGTTGGAACAGTGTTTTTGTATTTTGTCCTAACCCTTAAGCCATCTCAAACTGAGCATTTTGGGGACTTCCTAATGTTCTGCAACATTTATGTGTACTTACAGACCCATTCCATTACGGCTCCATCAGGTTTATCATGACAAGCATCCTGAGGCAGTCCTGCGTGTTCACAAAGCTGAAACCATGAGCCACTAGGAGCAAGGTGCTCCCCGTATCACACGTACCATAAGTAATCGCCTCCAGGCAACAGAAAGATACCCTTTAATGTTCAAATATTTGGAAAAGTAGGTAATACCAACACGGCCGTGGCTGGTGGGCGCTTTGATTCAAAGCGGAGGTTTAGTAACGCCAGGTTAGCTCCACAGTCACCTGCTTCTACACAGCCTTTTAAGCTTCAGAGATGCAGCTCTTTTGAAGAAAGAACACTTCAGAGCTAAGAGGAGGATGACCTAAAAACGGTGGCTCTTTTGGCTCCTCCTCTTGTGAGATAAAATTTACTCAATTATTCCTAAAGAAATCTACATGAGAAAGAAAAAAAAATCTTGCATCTAGTTTTAAAGGGGACATATGCAAAATCCACATTTTTTAGCTGCTAAATGCATTTTGTTGTGTACTTAGAGTCTCTAGGAGTGCAGAAAATTAGAATTTAGTCTCTCTCTGTGCCGCTGGTTGAGTCATAATTTTCAACCTGCTCGTTTTTTTGTATTTTCTATAGCTTTCTGAACTGTTTTGTCAAATTATTTGTGACGGAACTTAGAGGTAAATGCCCCTATCAAACTGAAATGGACGCTGGAGGTGGGTGGGATGTGAAGTGCCTCGTTTGGATTTAAAAAGACAGCCTCAAAATGAGTTGATCTGAGACACTTTTTAGAAAAGAGATGAAAGAGGGGCTTGTGGAGTTACAATAAGGAGGAATTCACTTTATATAGACCTCAACCGAGTGATTTCAATGTGAAAAAGAAGAATTTAAAAGCATGATATGTCTCCTTTAAAGCACCATAGCTGATTTAAAGAGTTGAAAAAGTAGGAAATCAATCCTTTTCCTTGTCTCGTCCTTTTCTTCCTTTTGCACAATTAGAAGCCCGAGACTGGTGGAGCTCTCAGGGCTGTACTTACCCTGTCCCCTCTGGTGAGGATGCCTTCTGAATTATTGAATGAAATGGAAACAGCATGCATAAGTTATGGCAGAGACTCTGCTTGTAAATAAATACTTCACAGGACGCAAATAAGGCCTTTAAAAGTGAGGCGACTTTAAGAATGAATGAGGGGAGGGTGAAAAGTTGGAGTCAAAACTGCTTTTTATCCCCCCCCCTTCCAACAGACAAAGAAATCACAGGAGGTTTCACCATCCTTAAAAATGTTAAAGGAAAAAATGTTTTTCAGACTAGTCCCACCCTTTATTTATGCACTGTAAGGGTTTTCCCACGCAAAAAAACAGCGTTTTTCTACGAAGAGATGCTTTTTGGTACTATAAAACTTTGTCTCATATCCTATAGGAATAGCAGATGCTGCAATTTGTGTTTTCAAGAGATGCAGGGCGAAAGATGGCGAGAGAAGAACTTCAGGCAGCTTTCAATGTCGATAGCATCTTTTCATTTTTGCCAAATTAGGTCAAACAGTTTTTTTCTGACAGAAACGCCTTTGTTGTGAAGAAAACTATTGACTGTGTGGAAGAACTCTGAATATACCATTTCAAACTGAAAAAAAAAAACACTGAGAGGGGAAAGAAGGACTTGCATCCAATCATCGAGTGTGTATGTGTGCATATGTGTATATATGTGTCCAGTACATGGAAGAAGGGAAGTTCAACACAAAATATCCTGGGAATGGAAGTTGGTTTGTATTTCATGATGCAATATAGAGTTAACAGCAGCTGACTGTGCTTGCTTGTGTGTCTGCATGACTGCTTGTTAAGTGTCACTTTTTCTATTTCTTATTATGCAGCACTAACCAGAATTGGTGTGTGCGTTGCAGAACAACACACACCAAGTTCTTGGTGAGTCCTTTTCAAGACTGGGATTTCCACCAATCTCTGCCCTAACGTCCTTTGTGATTCTGATTTTCTCATCCGATAATAAAACGTTATTAACATTTCAGCAAAGGGCAGCAACTATGTTGGCAGGTGAGCACCGAGTGGCTGGATACTAGGGGTGCAACGATACAGGAAATTCACGGTTCGGTTCGGTTCGATACTTTAGTCTCACGGTTCGATATTTTTTTGATACAAAAATGAGAAATTTCCATGCCCCTTTTAACTTGTAATTTATTTATATTTGTCGTCGCATAATTTACCAAGAATGCAGAAACACATTGGAATAATGCACAGAAAGTCTGCGCGTATGGTCGTAAATAATGATTTAATTCTGAGCGACAAGCAAACAGGACTCAATCAGGAAGCTCTGTCGGTTTGTCGCTGACACGTCAGCGGACACAGCCAGTAATATAACCTTATGTTAACACCATGTGACAGTTTACAACCAATCACAAATCGACTAATGTACTATCCAGCCAATCACAGGGCTCTCAGCTCAAAGAGTCTCTTATCAAACAAGAGAGTTCAGTCCGTTGCAGAGTCCTGACGTCTGGGCAAACAGATTTGACAATGATCATAAGATATATGAGTACTGGACAGCGTCAAAGGTGAAACAGATAGATAATTAGTCCATAACAATATTAATTATGAACATTTGCTTAACCTCAAAAGTACAGTTTTTTAATTAAATGTTGCTGAAACAGCAAGTTTCTCAGTGGACCTGCGCTCAAAATTACAGCCTAGGTGGAGTAGTCGAACACAGATCCACTGATCCTTCAACACAGAGCATCTTCAGAAGACAAGTTGATAAAATAAAATTTAAATATCTGTATTGTTCGATACAGCACTGTTGGATACGGTTCGATACGGTTCGGTGCGGTTCGGTACGGTTCGGTACGGGTACATGTATTGTTGCACCCCTACTGGATACAGATTTAGTTCTATACAGACATCCCTGCAGAAGCAACACCTACCTCCCAAATGCATCAACACCAGCTTCGCGAGGCCTCTTCTGGTCAGTAAACAATATTTTAATGATGCATGGGTGTTTATTTATTTATTTATTTATTTTTAGTAATCCAGCCTGTCAGCTGTCAGATAAACACGTGACTCAACAAAACATGAGCCCATTTTTACACAGCTGTTGCATTTCACTGAAGCTGGTCCTACTACCACACAGTGTGCAGGTGTGGAATTTTCAGCTTGGCGACGGCATCAGTTTCTCAGTCTGGTGTGTTTTTATCAACCTGTCTAACCTGTGCACTCAGATCTGTGGGGTGTCACCTTCACTCCTGCTTCTACCTATGTTCCTTTCAAAAAAATATGGCCAAAGTTTTCACAGGCCAGCAAAAAAAGCCACTGTCTACTTCCTACTGCCACACACGGATGATCCTGTGAAGGCGAGGGTCCCAAGATCGCACAACGCCGCCCGCCTCCGCTCCCCCCCATGACAAGACCAAGCCCGACGATGAGAGCGAGCCGGGGATGGCCCTCAGCTGGGAGCGTTTAGCCACTCGAAAGGTTTGAGAAAAATACTACGTTGGAAACTCAAGTGGCACGGCAGACTTAATGGGTTTCTCTCTTTCTCGGTTTCTCCAATGAATCTCTGAGGACTCTGCGGCGGCATGTGGCTGAATGTCTGAGTCACTCAGACTATCAGAGCTGAAATGTATCCTGATGTTTCAAATGGCGAGGGCACTCGAGCTGCTTGGTTACATGGAGAAATATCAGACAGACGATGAAAGGATCAAAAGGTAAAGAGGCACAGGTGTGTGTGTGTGTGTGTGTGTGGGGACGTGCTTGAATGTACACAATTATATACAATAATCACATAAAGTGGTAAATTTCACCTGCCCTATATAACCTGTGTTCAGTCTGATTGTCATCTGTTCTCTGGTTTGTCTGCTCCTCTACGCTTTTTCATTTAAATATAAAAATGAAAAAGAAAATCAGCAATCATTCTAAACAGCTAATTGAAGCCACAACGTTGTTTGATGCAATCAATCCTGTTGTTTCATGATTGCAATCACACTTGATAAATTAACTGTAAATTTATTGAGTAAAAGTGAGAAACAAACATTCTGAAGTTGATGTAACTTTAAATATTTTGTAGCATTATTTGTGGGTTTGCAGTGGGGGGGGCAGAAGCTAATTGTGTTTGCAGGGCCATGTCATGGAAAACTTGTAACATGAAAAGGTAGTCTAATGAGGCTACCAATAAAGTGTGTGTGTTTGTGTGTGTGTGGGGGGGGGGGGGGGGGGGGGGGGGGGTCCCTGGCCAGAAGATAATGCTGTTTAGGGGGGGATCAGGGCATAGATAATTGTGGAAACCCCCGCACAGACAACCACAAACTCAGAGTACTTCGGTCCTGTTGCTGCAAAACAAGCATTAGGAGTAAAGTGATGTTTTCATACACTAGCTTATTTTGATTTAAATAATAACAATACAAAACCCATTATTTTGTTTAGCTGTATTAAAATATTAACAACTAAATAAAAAATGCGACCTGGATTGTTTGCATCTGCAATTCTTTCTGGGCTGTAACTTTAGTCTACCAAGCCTGTGCCCAAACGTGCTTGTGTGTCTGCACTCACTGATGAAGTTTGTTTGGCCAGTGTAGATGGTGTACTGCAGCTCGTAGGAGGTGACGCTGAACTCGTCCTCCGACGTCCAGTGAACAGTGATGGTGTCATGGGAGGCGGTGCACAACTCTTCTCTGATGGATGGTGGGTTGGGAGCTACATGTAAAGAAGAAGAAGAAAAAAAACAACACAACATGAGTGAAAACAGCTAAACTTTGTATGACAGATACCACATTCACCTGCATGTTTGCAGCTGCATACAAGACCTACGTAACTCTGCAGCACTCGAGGAGTAAATGCAATATTTATTAAAGAAAGCTGAACAACCGTGTCGATGGAGAACAAAGCAGTGTTTGTGCTTTTGTAACGTTATACAGCTTGGTCTTACCTGACTCGCAGTTTTCACTTGGTTTTCTTATTTTCTTTACATTTAAATATACTTGTGAAATGTGTTCCATGTTTAGAGAAATAAAAAAAATTGACAAATGAGGAAAAAAAAAGAAAATTTGATTTATCATTTTCTTTCGGTCTCCTGTCCTGTGGATTCATTTGGGATGTAAACAGCCGGGACAAGTGATCTCTCACTGACTAGCCTGACATGATACAAATGCTAACATGGCTGAAAAAAAAAATAAAACAAACAAGCAAACAAAAAAATTGCTGGCAAGGTCAGTCAGAGTCAATGGGGAAAAAACAACTATGTAAGCTAAGGCCTGTGTCACACAGAAAGATAATCAAGCCGATTTTGGCCCTTCCGGCAATCTTAAGGAAGTCCAGATTATCGTGACGCTCTAAAGATTATCATAGCAGATATTCCTGCCGTGCGTGGTGAGTTAAGAGTGATCTAGTTGGCTCAGAAGGACGTCGGGACCGCTCCGACATCAAATCGGGGATATTCAACATGTTTGATTTTTTTGGCCCGATATCACAGTGTGTGTAGTGTTCACCTGAGCTCTCAGCCTGATGAATGAGACGTGTAGCCAATCAGAAAGTGAGGTGACGTAAGCACGGAGGGGAATCCAAAATACAGTGGACATAAAAAACTGCCATGACCCGCCAGAAAGTCTGCTGGATGTTAAAAGTCCTATGGAATTGTTTTTCCTCTGGTAAAAATAGTCCACAAACGATCAACGTTGTTTCTTCCTTGTCGCAAATGTTTATTCACTCTGAACTCACGTCTCCGGAGGTCACGTGAGATTTTTCCTCGGACATATGAATTCTCGAGAGATTTCAGGAAGTCTTGCGTGATTTAATATCTGACATCTGAATGTTCATGAATGAAATATTTTTTCGTGTGTGTTGTGTCTCTTGCCGAGTGGCTGTACACCACACACTGTAGGACCAAACCTGTTATATCCATGATTTTTAATCCTCACGTGTGGGCTCTATCAGTCTTTGAAAATCGGCCGACTGTTTTAAAATCTTGCAGTGTGACGCAGCCCTAAGCAGACACACTGACAAAGAAAACCAACTGTTAGCTTGGTGAAAAATGATTTTAATAGGAGAGGAAACTACTGGATCCCAAACATGTACATATACAATGTACCCTAACCCTCACTATATAATGAACCCCCGCAAAGTTGCGATAGTTGCGTGTCACGGTTTGTGGACTTTTTCGAGTTTTTCACAGAACCTAACCACTATTAGCTTTTTTTCACGATTCGCGGGTACTCTTAAGAATGTAACCCCCACCCCCTGTGAAAATCGAGGCTTCACTGTATACATATTAACAATAAAAATTACGTTATTTATATGCAAATCCTAAATGTAAACTCCGCAACAAAGGTTGATAATCAAACTTATAACTGATAATAGTGGCAGTTACAGAAAGTATGTCAACAAGAAAACTTTGCATAACACTTTGCACGACTTACCTGTTAGATAATCTAGTCCCTCAAGAATCTTCTTCTCTCTAGAGAAGTCAAGAGCAAAATTATCAAACGCCTCATTCAAGTTCACGTCAGGGATGAGCACCTGGGAGGAGGCTGTCGCCATGGCAACCCTGTAAGAAGGAATCAGGACATGAGGAAAAAAAATGTCAGCAGACAGGATAGTAACATTGCAGGGAATTAAGCTGAAAAAGAGGCCAGAGGTCAGATGAGGTGATGAAGAAAGCAGAAAAAAAAGAGGCGATGAAGAAGTGGAGGAGAGAAGTGAAGGAGATGAGGCGACAAGAAGTGGTAGACATTTTTAAAAAACATTGGAACAAGTGTGAAATAAACCTGAGCACACTGCTCCATGTATGGCGTGTCTCCGAACACACCCTGATATGCTCACTCTGCTGTCTCTGCAGCTCGATGGAAACTTGTGCCCACTTCAGCTTTGAGCATGAGTAAGCAGCCTGTGGCAGGAGCCAGTGTGAATGACTGTTTTGGCAGGGTTACACAGTAAGAGTGCAGAGGGAAGCACGGTGCAGAGCTAGTCCTTCAGATTTGGGCTCCGCAGTCAGTCGGTCAATAGAGGACTCAGCCAGGTGTCGGGGGTAAAAAACAAAAAAAGGGAGGGGCTGAGCAAAATAAAAGAAGTTCTGCTGGCTGCAGACTTCTCAGAAAGGTCTGAGTGAAATAACTTTTAGCCTGAGGTGGGAGGAAGAGATGAGGGTAATAAAGAAGGTTGAAAGTAAAAAAAAAAGAAGAAAAACTGCAGCGCTGGCTCTTAAATGATAGACGCTTTTGAACAGAGGCCTGACATTGATTACGAGGGCTGGGTAGGTTTGATACAACGCTGATTTCACCGGCAGCCTCTCAACCGAATTTCAGAGGCAGAAATCAGATAAAGGAGAGCTTATTCTAAGGCAGAGAATTTGATTTCAAAAGTCAAACAAAGTCATATTGTCAGATATATTAGGAAGGAGTTTTCTTATGTATTGTGCAACAAAGTGTGATTTATTGCAGAGAGCAAAAAAGCCAAGTGAATTTAACTTGCATGTACTTAAATGAAATCACCTTTAATAAAAGTCAGGTTTAGAGTACAGACTATACTACAGTTATAGGAACAAAGAAAAAAGCTTGCCTTGAAATAATGCATTTCATCCACTGCCTTTCATGCCAGCATCGCACTCAGAATCTGGATTATAAATAACTCTCAGCTACTACCACAAGATCATTTTGATTCGTGATGTAATTTGGTAACAGACAGGCACACAAACATTCAATCCATGTCTCCATCCAAATGTAATGGGAATTTTGAGCAAATTTTTAAACTGTCGTAAAAAACAAACAAACAAATGGTTTGGAGCGTATCAACCAGGCTACGTAAAGCATAATTTTGTCCAACCTCACGCATGGCTGTAGTAAACAGGACGTAGAGGATGCAAACTAGCAGGGACGACACATCTCGGGACAACGGAGGGATGTTTTCAGGGATGTGTTACTATTGGGCAATTTGTAATCGTTCTGTCAAATTAAATAGATATAGTGGCGATCATACATGCTGTCTGGAGACAGAAAGAAATGTAATTCTTATGGGAATATCTGGGAAGACGCTAACAGCAGAAAGAGCTGATCAATCATGTGAGGTAAATGTCACTACATCAGAACTTATCTGGCAAGTACGTTTCCATCTCCCCTTTTGTGCGTTATATCTTTTTCGAAAAATCTTAAAACTACCTCAAGCGAGCGCAAAACTTTATTGCGAAAATTAGGATGTTTTTTTTCTTCAAATTTTGTCGTTTCCATCAACCTTTTCTAATGCGATACTTCACAGCGACAGACATGAGCCAAAGCAGTGATATTTTCCTCAAAGCCCCCCATCTTACTTCCAAACCAAGCTGAGTCCCACCCCCAAGTCCCTCCCTACACCCCACCTCTCCTATCCTGGCCCTTGCCTTCCTACGCAGCTCCGCTCAATTCTAGTTTCCCTTCATTGCTCGGTCTGGGATTTCTCCCACTGAGATGGATTTCGCTGGCAGATTTTTAGCCGGGCCAATCAGAGAAGAGAACGTCAATTTTCTGCACAGTGTCTGCTTGTAGTTTATTTTACCTGGGCCAATCAGCAAACAGAAGGCGGAATTTTGAATGACGTCGATGTTCTGCACAGTGTCTGCTTGTAGTTTATTTTACCTGGGCCAATCAGCAAACAAAAGGCGGAGTTTTGAATGACGTCGATGTTCTGCACAGTGTCTGCTTGTAGTTTATTTTACCTGGGCCAATCAGCAAACAAAAGGCGGAGTTTTGAATGACGTCGATGTTCTGCGCAGTCTGCTAGTTATTTTAGCATACGGCAGCAGAGGAAGTGAATGAAGCCAGTCCGTGTTAATAAGGCTTCTAAATTAAATTTAATTT